GAAAAGCAATGGAAAAAATATCCTTGGGTGAGGATTAAAAACACACACACAACTCCAAATCTGTCTTTAAGATAGCAGTATCCACCCACTGACCAAGGGGTGAGACCTTTATTCACTGCATTTACCCTCTCAGTAAGTCCAGTCATTCGTGCCTTTTCAGATGTTTTTGAAATACTTTATACCCCCAGTGTTTTTGTCCTGTTTAAGGCCTTGGCCAGTATACTTGACTCCTTAGTCTCCCCTACTCTTCAAATTCATCCTGTATATTGTTACCTTACTAAAAACACATCTTAGTCACAGCTCTTCCTTGTTTAAAGTCCTCAGTGGCTTTCCCATTGCTTTCAAAATAAAGTCCAAATCCCAGGTATAGCACGACATTTCTTCCCCACTGACCCTTCTCTACTTTTCCAACTTCAGTTATTTCTCCAACACACCCTATATTGTAGTCACATTATAAAATTACCTTGGCAACTCCAAATAAGCTACGTACTTTTTAGATACCATGATTTACTCTTGCTGCTCTCACTTCCTGGAATGTCATTTTCCCTCTCAGCTTCTCTTCTGTCACCATTTGGAGTCAGAGAAAAGCATTTCAGTGTTCTCTTAAGATCTGTAATTCTGAGGGTATTTAACTAATTTCTTTAAAATTATATTTGCAGTTTTCATAAACTAGAACCAGTAGTGATCGACCTCAATTTTCAATGTGTTTATTATTCATTCAATTTTAATATGAGATAGTGTCAGATCAGAAACCTAGATTACATATTTCTTAATATAGCCCTAAAAGTACATTTTTGAAATATGTGCGTTGTGTATAATTGTATTCCTGGGTAAAGTAATTTTATATATGATAAATAAGCTATTTTCATGAGAGTCAACCTATAATTTTAAGTTATGTTAATAGAAGTACAGTCCAAAAAAGGCATATAATAAACATAGTGATAGTTCATCACATATTAATGGAAACCACAGACCAAAAAAAAGGCATATAATGTAGTGATGATTGGCAAAATTGACTTTCATGGTGAAAACCCTGCCCTCTAGTGCTTGTGGAAAATAATACAATTACTTCAGAAATGCCAGAGTAAGTATATTCTCTAGATCACCAGTAGAGTGAGTGCTTGTACAGGGAAACAACTCTATCTTTTGAGAAAGTTGAAATCTTAAAGCTTTATTTTCTAAAAAATCAGATATATTTGATTAATTTGCAATCTCACACTTTTATAAAAATATTTTTGTAACAGGTTATATATTCTTTATTACCTAAAATAAACAGTGATGCTAGTATTTAAGTATTTTTCCTGATTATATAAAACTAATACAAGTTTTTTGTTGAAAATTCAAAAACAAAAAGAAAAATAATGGAAAAACCCATAATCAGAGAAAGTACCTGTCAACATTTTTATGTATGTCTTTCCATTCTTTGCATATTTTAAAAATTGAAATTGGGCCCATCACCACTGCCATCAACAATATATTCTGATGCAAACTGTTGATCCCACACAAGAGTATTACATCCCACGGGCTAAACTAGGCCCTCAGCAAGATGCAGAATTATAAAGTCTACCGGAAGCACGAGTAATGAAAACCCAGAAGACCATCCTAATGTAGTCCTGATGATACACTGGGAAGCCCATAGAGTCACACTGCCAATAAAATATTGGCTTATCCTTCCTTCTCTGCTTCCTGGTCCTTTCCATCCATCTGGACCCTTCTTCAGAAGACTGCCTTTTCAAGCATAACTACAGTCTTGCTGGCCACCCTACCTATGTGTCTGTCTCTTCATTCCTATAACTGAGAGATTCCCTTCCTTAGCAATGCTGAACAAATTGACCCCTCTTACTAATGGGACTGAAATACTTTGGTCTGAAGAAATTGGGGTCATGCTAATATAACAGAGTGACCCAGCATTTGTGATAAAAGTCATAGCAGAATCCTCAGGACCCCCACAATTGGGCATTTTAAATAACACAAACATTTCATGGACTTGCAAGCTGGTGGGCTTTCTCTCACGATGTGTGCATCCCAGGACAGTGAGTGTAACAAAAGATGTGGCTGAGGTCAGTGACCTTTAATGAACCGGTAACAGCAAAGGAAGAGCCAGTCTAGTTGATGCTCATAAAGGATTTTAGGTGGTGCACATAAAAAGATAGTCTCCCTGTCTTGATGTTTCTAATGAACCAATGCCTCTGCAGTCCCACATCCTTCCCCAGGGATTCATCTGTCCTTAATACCCATTTGTTAATATGTAACAGGTAGAACATGACCAGAGTCAGAGCTGTGCTGCCAGAAGGGTTCTAAGGGTCCAGTTCAGCCCTCTGAATTTGCAGATAAGGAGAAATGGAATGGCTTGCCCAAAACTACACAGTAGTTAGTGGTGGACCGGGTTTTCCAATGTATAGACAACTCTTTTTCCCACTCCAGAAGGCTTCTCCATGCCTGCATTTCTATATTAACAAGTTAGGTGCCCCTCCCCTGAGAACCAAAAGTGATATTTGAGACCAACGAGAGTTGAGCACCTTTTGTGTGAAAGATCTTTGAAAAATAGCTAAGACTCTATACACGAAAAAAAGCCTTTTTAATGACCATAGATTTTTCAGTATCAGCAAGGTACCAGGACCATTTTCAGACTCAGTCCTAGGCAGACAAGGCAGACAGCTGCTTTGGTAGATCTTATGTTTTTGTGGAGGAGATAACAATGCAGAGAAATTCAGGACTG